GCTCGGTTATCTCCGGTAAAAGAAGATAACGCCAGGTCACGGCACCAGTGTAACTCTCTATGGATGTTACTAGATGAGTTCGGACTTCAATGAATGAGCCAGACACCAAGTAAGCTGGATGTTAACGGTTTTATTTTATACAAAGTGTGAGCCTCCAACAAGACGCAGCTTGGCTAGTCGACGAACCCCCACGAGAGAGCGAGACTCCGCGGGAACATCCCATAATCGAGTCCTTGAAAGTTCAAAGGTTACATTAAGTCGTTTACATATTTAGGCCACTTCCTTATAACTGATCTGAATGATGATTTTGATATATCACGACAATATAGGTCTCTATATGTATAAGCGCAAATACTCTCAGAATACGATTCTATAAATTCACAGATCAAGATAAATGAATTTTATTTAGGAGCTACTGTACTAATATGTACTGTGTCAATCTATGGTCTACCTACAAACACAAAAGCATAGATTCTTTAAGAGTTTGCTATAACAACGCACTAAGAATACTCCTAGGAAAATCAAGGTCGTGTAGAGTATATTAGAAAATCAATGCATGGATTTATGTGCCGACTTTATTTATCGGAAAACAGTCTGATAAATTCCACTGTTAATCATCTAATTGAACATTGTTTATAATTATATTTTTATTGAAACAAGAATCGTTTACAGTAGGCTCAAAATTAGAACTAATTTATAGCAATAATTTTCAATGCAAATACAATTAATTTATAAATATGAAATCAGCAGGAATTTAATCTGGTTTCATGATGCAATGTTAATGATCAAATATATGCTGTCCACGGATTTCAGAAAATAAGGGCTGATTTCCACTCAATGCAACTCTCAATAATACAACAACCGATGTGTTATGTTTATGTAAATAGTAGTACTGTAGATTTTGCGCGCCTATTTCCTAGTGATTTTCCACACAACTGCGAGTTGATTTTCATCTGGGCAATTGGCATGACTCAATCTTTCACTTAAATGAGTCACATGTCTAATGTGAAGGATTCAAAAAGTTATTCTATCGCTGTAGTGAGTGTTAGATCACCCTCTGTAAGCCGTCATGTAACCATAGCATTGTTTACTGTAATACATAATCTCTTGTTATAGTATAATAATAGAAAAAAATGTTCAAATATTAAATTAAATTTTAGCTACGTGTACCACTCATTTGCTTATCCCAAGGGCTAATGATGTAGTAATTCTTTTTTAAATTGTATAAAAATCATATTTTCACACATGTATAGTAATAATAGCATGTTACAATAATTTCAGAAAAAAAAAAACATAATGGGGCAGTATGATGCTCAAGTCAGGAATCAGTTATCAAAGGTGAGAAAAAAATTTTCAATTGATTTAATTAATGTTTAGTTTAAAATAAGAAAATCCATGATACAAATTACTGCACGTTTTTACTAGTAGTATCACAGATCATTGTTAATTAAAAGATTTATTTGTTGAATTGTTGGTTGTTTTATTTCAATAATATTATTTTTTAGTTCCTTTGCATGTAATGCAATAGGAACTATTGTAATCACTCTTCATTTTCTTTTGTTTTTTATTGTGTGTAGTGTGTGTACGTAGACATTTATGCAAATGCGCATGCGTCAAAGAAAAAGTTTTCCGACATCTTGTTTTACCTCACGATGCGAGTTCGATATAAAGTTTCTGCAGAGTTCAGGCAGGGCTCACGCTATCCGATCGGCAAGTCGGCATGGATGAAACTATTTTGGTTTTACGGCAAAAAAATCAACTGCGGTGGCATAGGTATTTTGAAGAAGGCCTAAAATAAAACAAAAAGGTTTTAATACTTGTTGAAATACATCGTTTTTTCATTTAGATCTCCATTTTTCACTAACTCCATGCGACGTTTTTTCCTGTTGTATGAGTAGTCATATGAAGGTACTGTACTATATCCCCGACAGTTGGCTATGCAGCAATGTACCGTTTGAATGCAAATTGAAGACAAGTGACGATATAAAGGCAGCCGACTGTCGATGTTGTACTACAATAACTTTCTCCTCCTCTAAGGGTTACTTCATGTCTTCAGAAGCCAGTAAACCGGCGCACTTTCATCTGTCCACGACAGGGGCCGAATGAACCAGTACACTGGGGTAACCCCCTACTCATCTCGAAAGATGTACTGGGTTCTTTAAAGTGCACATGAGCATTTGTGTACTCTGGGCATACGGTTTATAGTCCTTATCCGAGAAGACTTGTTCCACCAC